GCGATATCGATGATAATATAAATCTTCCTGATCATAAGAGGGTAGTTTGCCAAATAGAAAGTTTACATTGTATTACCAATAAATGCAAATGTGATAAAAAATGTAAATGCCCTCTGAGCCAATATGATTTATGGCTTAATGAAATAGTGTCTATAATTGCTCAAGCACAAAGTCGCTTGGTGGGGCAATCGATAGAAAAATTATATAAATTAGTTCAAGATGTAAGGCGTATTATCGTCATAAATAATGACCTTACTGACCTTAGCATTGAATGGATTAAGGCTCTTCGTAAGAATATCACCTTCTCATTTATTCATAATACTTACTAATCTCAGAAAGGCAAGACATTCCACTTGGCCCCTAATAAAGAAACAGTATTAACCAAACTTTGGGATTGGGCCAAGCAGATATCTTCATTACCTTTTGAAAATCGAACAAGTGCGTCGCTTATTTGCCATCTTAGAAAAGATGTGCAAGGTATCGTTCGCACTCTCAAGACCGATTTTCCAGAACTACGAATTAAGGAATATTATGGTAAATCTGATCCTAAAGAAAAGGCACACGATTTTAGCAATGTAGAAGAATCATGGAAAGACTTAGACCTAATTGCCTATACTAGCACTCTAAAAATAGGTGTATCGTATACCAATCCTAAGTTTGAGCGGGCATTCTGTCTTTTTAATAGCTACATAGAAACAAATGCCGGAACGAATCAGATGTTATTCCGCATGCGATGCATTAAGGATTATATATGTCATATCGAACAAAGATCGTCTAATATTCCCATTACAGAGAAAGGATTATTCCAATGGTTGTTGAATGCCAAACGAGAATGTCTTCCCCGAGAACTTCAGAATAGAGGAATTTTTCCAGATGTGGATTCTATTATCCGGAATAAAGACATCCCAACTATTCGATTGTGGGTAGCATATATGTTAGAAAAATTCCGTTCCCGGCGCTTATTTGGTTGGAGAATGGTTGATTTTCTCTGAAAAGCGGGTATGATCATTTCCATCATAGAACCTATTCCTAGATACGATAAAAACGTTACAATGTTATCTCAAGTTGTGAAGGTGAATTCCACTACCGTTAAAGCAGAGGAGATATCAGCAATAACTAACGCTACTATTGTTAATCATGATACTGCTGAATTATTAGAGAATAAGCCAAAGAAGACTTTAGAAGAGATGCGCTCTTTAGACCGATATCATATTGTGGATTGCTATGGGATTCCACCCGAATTATTAACCGAAGACTTTATCTCAAAGTATGGGAATTACAATCACATAAAATGGTTTAAAGCTTATAGGCAATTGCGAGGTGGGGGTACTAACAATGAAATAGCTGTTGAGGCTATTTCCCGTAAAAATTATAGAGAAAATAGGCTTACAACTGTAACCCGAGCTGAGAGGCATCGAATTTGTCTAGAATTATTAAGGATTTGCACGCCAGCTAGAGATATCGATGATAGAGCCAGATATAAATCTGATTATGTCAAGATACGTCTGAATTCTCCTGAATCATTATCATATCTCCATGATTTATTTCCCAGAATGGCTCAAGTATTTGATAATACAGATGCATCGCACAGAGCTAAAAAATCGGGATTGAAAACAGATCGGGCAAAACTTGGTTTACTGAACTCAGCACTACATGCAACTTATGGGTTGAAATTTAAGGCTATAGATAGGAGTCGCAGGTATTACCGTCTAGATGGATCATTTGATACTAAAGACGCTCCTAGATTACCTTCATATCAAACGGGTGAAGAACTTTATTGGGAAAATAGAGAAGATACTCGGTATGGGTATAGCAAGCTTTCATCTGACGAGATATTAATGTAAAAACATTATACTCTGGTGGGGTACATACTTTTGAGATGTAGCCTTCTGCCAATATTTTATATAATAATTCCGCAGAAGGCTACATATTTGAAATATATATTTTTTTCTTACTCCTCAGTAGATAATTCAAAGACCTTTCCGGATTGAAGGGTCCCAACCCCATACTTCTGCCTCATTCGATAATTGAGCGAATGAAATCTGGCTGAATGTTTGGAACAACATTCTGTAATGGAAATAGTAGGAAAACCACAAACAAGGCAAGGTTTTTTTTTCATATTTTTTTCATGCAAAGTCCAGTGTTTTCCACAGCCAGTAGTACGAGTGCAGACTCTCTCACAAACGATACCGTCTCTCTTGATATGTGGACAAGTAACACGATCCATAAAAGTATTTTAGGATATAAAATCCTTTTCACTTTTAATTTTATAATAAAATGTGTATTTAAATTATTCGGTATTAAGATAAGACATAAACGTCTTTTCATACTTATACTATGGATATATTAGATCAACCGGTAGATAAATCTCGCAAAAAAATCTATAATCCCAAAACTAATCGCATGATCATTATAAATGGGTCAACGTATAATAAATTGCTACGTAAAGGCTATATGCATTGGAAAGAAGAAAAGCTTTTGATTCCATCTTTTAATGATTATATACTATTAAGACAATGTCTTTCTTCCAAGAAATATCGTATCAGGGAAATTGTATCAGAAAGAAGTTTATTAACACTGATTAACGAAAAAATAAGTCTACTCCAAATCTTCCTCAAAGAAAGTCCGCGCAATGATAGTTTATATCACCTATTAAAATTATGCTGTGAACATAAAGAAACGAAAGCTTGGAGGAATAGCATACTCATAAAATTTCTCCATCAGCTGAATTTAACACCTTCAAAGTATAGACCAGGTGCTTTATATGACGCATTTACAAAAACAAATGTTTTGGGGCTGGAGCATATATTAGCTCTAATACGGTTACTCGATTAAAATATAATTACCTGCAGATTTCAAATCGATGTAAAACTCCTGGCCAGAGCATAAATTATATCATTATTTTTTCGCTTCCTTTTCGAAGAAGTATAGCTCTGAGGAAATTTTTCGAATTGAACTTTTTTCTCAGAATATATAATCTGAATACTACAGATTAATCTAACACACCCTATATTCTACTTACCACACCATGTCTGCTATTACAACCAAGTTCGTTACAGACCATGAACTCACCAACGAGATGAGTCTCAAAGAGCTTAGCCAAAATGTGCTAGAAATACTTGAGCTCTTAACGGATGATAAAGAGAAAAGGCGTCAGGCTCGTAATCATCTTTTAAATGGATATAAATTTAGCAAAAAGCAAGTATTTGCATTGATTCCTCTCCAGAGAGTTGGATGATGCAAAAGTCAAGCGCAGGTCCCAAAGGGATCAGGGTTAGAAGCTGAGGAAGTGAATACATGTCAAGTATCCAATAGTACTTGTACTGAGGAGACTATTAAAGAAACGGCTTAGCATATTGTACGAGATAAACTTAGCGAAAGAGATGTAAAAGCAATATCTAGAACCTTAATTGAAACAGCCTCTGATTCCGTCGTTGCCTTATCACGTCTCTCTAGGCTTCGAAGAGAATTGCGAACCCTCAATGTCCCAGAAACAATAATTTCTACTACATTTAATCCAGAAGTAATCAGATTATCTAATAAAATCCAAAAGGAGCGTTGCGATCAACGTGAAGATGAAGGGATCGATTTTTCAGACCACTTTTCATTAGAATCAGTTACAGAAAGACTAAATTTGTACGATGTATCTAATATACCTGACAAACAGGCCCTAGCCGATATAATAATAATGCTCTGCATTCGTCCTGCTGAAATTAAAAACTTGCGTATATCTAATGGGGCTGTAACTGGATATGCAAAAAACCGAGGTCAACAGGATATTCCTCGAGTGTTTAGATCACTAGAAAAGAATGAGGAGCGGGCTAAGCAACTTCTTACTTGGATTCAGGATAATATTTGTTCTGGACAGTTAAAGGACCCAGGAAAACTTGGATCTACATATTTAAGTACATTTCTGAAAAAAGATGAGTTTCTTCCAGAAAGCGGTAAGCCATTACTTTACGCAAATTAGAGGCAGTATTTGCTTCTGTAGCACATGGGCCTAAAAATGTGTCGAAAGCTAACACTTATGCTAGTGAAGCCCTTCGCCACAGTCCTGATAACTACTCTTCTCCATCAAAGAGATATACTATAGTCAATATGTGGAAAAGAGAAGAACCATATAATCAAGTAGAGGCATTCAAGCTCTTCGATGAAAGCTGATCACATAGAGGGTTAGGTATCAATTATTAATTTTATTTTTTCACTCAAAAGAATATATATCATATATAAAATAATACGAAAATGACCAGAATAGAAATAACTGAAAAGCATTCATCCAACAACAAGCGCGATGCACCTGGCGAGCAGGAAGTTATCAGATATAGAAAGTTAATAGCTCGGATATTTGGACTAGAAAAGATAGTAAAAAAATTGGAGAGAGATGTGGCATTCCTAGAGACTGAATTAGAAGATTTAGATGATTGTGTGAACAAGAGCACTGTAGTTGACTTAATACATGAAATAGTTCCCACGCTCATTAATGAAAAAGGTAAGAGTTCCTCCTATTCATCTGATTCATCTGATTCACCTGAAGAATCTGATTCTGTTGAGATAATTGAGATAAGAGAACAAAAGGCTGTTCCTTATAAGCAACGAAGGAAGACACGACCAAAAAAGGTTAAGATAAAGAAAGCTATTAGCAGTTCGAAGTAGTGATTGCTAGTTGTCCACCGTTTTCCTAATGCTATTCTTGAGATCACAATTGAGTGATCTATTTTTTAACACAGGTAGAAAAGTATCGATATGAAATAAAAATCTATGAAGTGTGTACCCCTTTTCTTCACTAATCATTTACGATTGCCAGTAGATCGATCAGTCCTTGGTTCATACTAAATAATTCATAAATAAATAGATCACCAAATCCGAAATTGTTTTTTTAGTCATGAAAGTGCATAATGAATAAAAATAATCAGAGTATATAATTAACTGTAATACTTATCTGTCTATAACTCTTTATACCGTATTCTAATTCTCAGCCGTAAAAATTTTTATTTTTGAATATGTCTACTGACCCAACCCTGAAAAATATTTCATATCTCAAAACTCTCGCATTGAATATTCTTAAGAATAGCTCATCAGATACTATTGCAAAAGATATCGGAGTTCCAGAACTAGACCCATGCTCAAGGTGTAAAGAAGAGCTTTTTTTGTACGAACTTAAAAAACCATTTACCATACTCATCTGTGGACATATATACCACCATAGTTGTCTTGAGGATTATGTAAAAGATCTCCCACAATGCCCTAAATGTGCAATAGAAATTGAATCTATTGATTATGTGCATTCTGGCACTTCTGAGCAAAGTACGTTGGACCTAATGCAAATTTCACCACAAATGGCACAAATAGCATCCAATCAGAGCCAGAATATAGTAACCTCAGATACAATACATATTTCTAACCCCACCTTATCAGATCCCTTATTATTTCCAGACTATACAAAACGAACCCAAACTGTTAAACCAAAATCTGAAAAAAGATTACGTGAAGAAGGTATAAAAAAAGAACCTACAAATCTAAAGAAATTAATTGACGAGTTGACTACCGAAAATTTAGATTCTGCAGAAAATATTATTATTACACAGTCAAGTTCAGTACCTACCGGTGAAAATGACCCCGAGTCAGTTGATTTTCTTAACTTATATCGCCAGATTGTAAAAACTGAAGATGATAGTAAAAAAGCCATTCAAGATGTTATTAGAGCCTATTATAATTTTGACCATAATCTTAAAAAACGTCTTAAATACCATAAAAAAATCACAAAAAACAAGTTGCTCAAATCCTAGTAAATGATGAAGTTAGAAGCCAACTCCCAAAAGAGATAAGTGACGATGTATTACGCAAAAAAACAGAGCGAGCTCGGAAAATATATTATTTTTTTAATGCTATAGGTGAAAATAAAATAGATAGAATTAGTTCTTTTAATGCATCATCTATTTTTAAATTAAGTCAGGAAAATATCGATCATGTAATACTTAACATTACGAAAAAATCAAAATGACATTTTACTGCGCCCATTACTGCGCCTGGTGTAACCATGACACCAGTGTCACACTCTCTTTAAAAATAAAAATATTTACATGTACCGGTATGCCTAAAAAATATAGTCAGGGAATATACCATATTTGGAAATCGGGTTCTAGAATGATCTGCAAAAATGTTTGTGCATTTGATTGGTCGTCACATTTCTTTTTTAGGCTTGTATTCGGGTTAGGGGTTTTACAATATTTCATATATCTATT